CCCAGGGCCACCCCGGGCTCACCAGGGGTGGGTGTAGCCCCGGGGGGGGGCCAAGGTGGGGCCAAAACTGCAGTTTTGTAGTTCGGCCCAGGCGGTGCAGGCTGCCGTTGCGCACCCCCCTGTATTTTATATATATAGTCGGTGAAACTCCGACGAAACAGTTTGTCACAGCCCCTCATTTGTTGTCCTCTTCTCCCTCTCTGCCTACGGTTTACCGGGCAGTTCTATTTGACGATATATATATATATATTTATTTTTATTATTATTATTATTATTATTTTTTTTTTTTTGGGGGGGGGTGTTACGGAGCCGGGGTCAGGGGTGCCCACCCCCGGACCCTCGCACCGCCGTCGGGGCCCCAGGGCTGCGGCTCGATAACCCTACCCTGAAGGAAGAGCAGAGGTAGTTAAATATCTCGACAAAAAGATTGTTTCCAATGTTGTTGAATCCGCTGACGGACCATATGTTAATCCCCGGTTTTGCTTTTGAAACGAGGGGGTGGTTTGAGATGGATACAGTTTTTTTAGAAGCTCTCAGTGACGGTACGCGATGTAGGTAGCCTACCTGATGTTGATCTCCTTTCTGAATGCTTTGTTGGTCGATTATTCATTAAATGATTAATAATCTGACTATGATCAGTTTCCTATTGATCCCACTCGACGATCAACGACTTTCATCCACACGCCAAGGGGGCTTATTCAGATGTGCGTGGTATCTCAAGGATGGACTAATGGGGTGGCAGTGGTCCAAAGCGATATGATCCGGTATAAAAAGACATGTAGTAAGAAACAGGATTTTGGTTGTTGATGGTGTCAGATAGTTTGCCTAGGAACATGCGGAAGGTGTAAAGCTGGTCCTAGAAAGACTTCATAAATATAATTTGGCTGCCCGCGGACCAAAGCCCATTTTCTTTCAAGCAAAGGTAACCATCTTAGACAAAGCGATAAAATTCTGAATTTGCAGTGGTCCAGAGCGATAAAATTTTGAATTTGCAGTGGTCCAAAGCGATAAAATTCTGAATTTGCAGTGGTCCAGAGGAGTTATAACCCCAAGATGTTTCTCCGGCCCGGAGGAGTTATAACCCAAGATGTTTTTTGGGTGACAGTGGTCCAGAGCGATAAAATTCTGAATTTGCAGTGGTCCAAAGCGATAATATTCAGAACTGGTCCTGGCCTCTCAAATGAGTGACAAATGTCAGGAGTTTCTTGGGTGTTTGTGGATTCTTGAGGATCTTTATTACTCTTTTTGCTACCCCTGCAGAACCTCTAAGAGAGATGGTAAGACAAGGGGCTGATTGATCTTGGACAGATAAAAAACAGGCTGCAGAAACTTTACAAGAAAAAAAAAAAATGGAGGTGTGGTGCTGGGAGTACCTTATTTGGATGATGAAGAGGGAAGAATTTTTATCATCGAGGTTACTCGTACATAAAGATGAGAATGGAAGAGAAAGGTGAACTTTGAATTCCACAGAAAGTGGTTACACCCAATTCTGGAAAGAGGTATGGACAATCATGCATTGTCTCAAGTGTTTTAGGCATTATGTACTTGGAAGGAGATTGAATCTAAGAACTGATGCATCTGTTGTGATTGGTGCTATAAAGAAGCGTCAACAAGTAACTCCAACAGTAAGCAGATGGAGATATTGATGGAACCACTGAAGAGTCTGCTTATAAGTGGATTTTGTGGCCTGAAGAAAGAGGGAGTTGCGGAGAAATCTCTGGTTATGAGATAATTTATGATAAATACAAATAGGAAAAAACAAAACGATTGGTATGCTAGAGTTAACACAACAACTATGGTTGTTTATAAACTGGAAGAAAGTTCTAGTTCAAAGGACGAGGAAGAAGTTGAAAAGAAAGAGGAAGAAATATCATCCATCTTTGAAGAGTATGATGAAAGTTACCAAGAGATTGGAAAAAAATGGAAAGAGAAAAGATAAAGGATTACTAAAGAACTTATGGTTCAAAGGACGATGAAGAAGTTGAAAAGAAAAAGAAAGAAATATCATTCATATTTGAAGAGTATGATGAAAGTTACCAAGAGATTGGAAAAAAGATGGAAAGAGAATACTACTGCAAGAACTCAAGGAAAAAGTTCAGATTAAAGAGAGTTCACCTCTTTGTGGATGGCAAGGGAAAATTGCCCCTATTAAGAGTGGTATGTGGGAAAGAAAGGCAGCTAGAAATAATTGTTGCCCTACACGAAGGGGTTACAGATGGTCATAGAGTCGCTGAAGCAGCCTATTCTAAGACAGCTAAGCTTTACTTCTGGCCTGGCATGAGAGTCATGATTTACAGGTTTCGTAAATCGTGTGTACTATGCAAGAAGAGATCTACAACGAGAATGATTGAGCCTTTATTTCCTACTATTCTGGTAAAACCAGGCAGTTGAGTTTATTTGGATCTCATCACCATGTCTGTACGCAAAGGGAGCGATGAGGTACATGCTGAACATGAGCGATAATTTCTCTGGATATGTTGAGGGAAAAACTATGAAGAGGAAAACAACTGAACAAGTGGCTGATTGGATAGAGGAAGTCTATCTCAGATATTTCTTCATGAGAGAATTTATTTCAAACAGAGGATCTGAATTCGGAAATGAGATTGTAAGAAAAACCACTCTCAAATTGGGTGTCAGAATTTGATACGTAAGTACTTATCATCCTCAAACAAATGCACCACTCAAGAGGGGTCGCAAAACTTTGAAAGATTCGTTGGCTAAATGGTGTGAAGGGAATTTCAGTAACTAGCCAAAAGTACTAAAGAGTTGCAGATTATGCTGATAGCATCACTGTCAAGAGGACCACTGATTATGCTCCATTCACTCTGTCGTACGAACGGTACGCTACCTTGCCCACTAAGAGCATAGTGAAAAATTTGATGAGTCAAGAGAGTGACAGTAAATATTCTCTCTCATAACTTCTTCAGATCATAATGAAGCAGATATCAGAAGTTGATCAGGAAGTGATGGATGTTGAAGAGAGAATGACTAGCAAACTATCAGATCAATAAAGATGGAACAAAAAGAGGTACATACGAAAAAAGAAATAAAAGGTTGGTGACATTGTCCTTTTGTTTGACAATTCTCTCGAGAATCAGTGGACCAAAC